TGCTGCCTTCCCCAAGGACCGTGTGATGCATGATGAGGTCTTGGTGAATCTTGTGTGGTTTAAAAAGAGGATTCATGCGAATCCTCTGTTGGGAGGGCGTGAGATAATTGTTATGAGCTGAAACAAGGGATGTTCATCCTGGACATGAGGAAAAGCTGCTCACGATCAAGGCTGGCAGCAGATCTGGCTACCTGAGAGGTTAGGAGGCCTTTCTAGACCCAGCTGGATGAAGCACTGAGCTTCAACCAGATCTGAGCTCAGAGCCCTCCCTGCTCCGAGCAGTTTGGACTGGAGACCTCCTGAGATCCCTTCCAGTCTGAATTTGACTCCACTTTTGCAAAATCATTTTCATGCAGGAGAGGATGCCACAAGCTTTCTGGATTCGCTCTGTGAACCAGGGTGAATCATTTACTACCAGCCGTTCTAACAACCTCTACCRACTCCTGTCTTAGAAGCTAACTTCAGTGCATGGACTAAATGAATGTGGATGTGTTAGTTAATTCTCATTTTCAAATATAAAAGAAACCTTCCGATTTTGCTTTTGTTTATAATAGAATTCAAACCACTTTGTTTTGTGAAAGGGTAATTTTAGTAAGTAAAAACTGAGGGCAATGTTGTGAATCATTATGCATAGTCAATCCACAGCCAGGACCTGGGTGAATTATTGTTGCTACTACTAAAGCAATAGTAAAATACTGAAAAACATTGTGGGTTAATAAAATATTCAAGAGAGAACTGTAGCCATACAACTTGGAGACAGGAAGTGCTTTCTTAGTATTTTAATATGCACAGTCGTGGGGTATTATTTTTGCACAAGCTTTATTTTGGTTCTTTTAAAATTGCAGTTCTTCGCCCATACATAGCTTTTTAATATACTCCAGGCTTTAGCCTTGTTTTGTGCTATTGATTTTAGACGAAACCAGCCATTGTTCTTCATGGGAAAATCKGTGGATTTGAAAAGAAAAAAGAAWAAAATAAGAATATTGTGACATGGCTCATCATTAAGAGATATTTTTCTGATATTAAGCTGCTCTGGAGAGCATTGCCCACATGGAAGCATTTTGCAGAGCTTCCTGTTGCTGCAGCTGACTTGGGAGACCCTGGAACTCCAGCCTGTGTGCGCTTCCTCACCGTGTCCCGCTCCCTGACCACAGCGGAGCCTGTGGCGCATCCCCAGCACAAGTCGCAATGTGTTCCCGGGTGTAGTTAGCAGCAAAATAGTCTGTTTGTGCAAAAATGTTCCCATACCTGCCTGACCCATGGCCTGTGCATCAGGCTGGTTCCTGTAGCCAGCTGTAGGAGGCAGGGCTGGAGAAATGAAAAGTGGGAAGTAGGCACTGTCCTTCCAGGATGAGGGGAGCACTGATGTACCGGGACTTCAATCCGATGTCCATCCATCGCTGCTGCCATATGGAGACAGCTCATGGCAAGTGAACCATTTTAGTGAACGTGCACAACAAGCAAAGAGCAGTTAGCGGCCTGTTTGCTGATAACCTCCTCTCCGTGGCTGCTCTGGGGACAAAGTTTTCAAGCCAGTCTGTCAGCTCGCACGCTCGGGTTTAGGGCTGACACATGGGAATGGATTTTGGAAGTCGTTTCTTCCCCTACTGCCTGCCCCGTCCTTCCAACAGAATATGTGCTGCTTCCACCAGTGGGAGTGAAGGTCTAAGGAGCAGCTCCCCAGCCCCCTAGATGTGGTGTGGAGTGATGAACCAAACCTTGCTTCGGGGGCCTGGGAGATCAATGCATGCGAAAATTAAAGGGCAGGGTTTGCTCTGAGATGGCCTGCTAGCGTAGCAGTTCTTGGCAAGAATCCCAAGCGGGCCCGTTGATGCCTAGGTACTTGTGCTTGTGGACATTGACCTGCCATGTTGATATTTCACTTTGTGTACGGGTGGTTGGTCTGCCGGGTGGTCGCTGTGCGTTATCATTTCAGCGGGACCTCATGTTTGAGTTCTTAGCAAACAAGAAATCCAGGGTCACGTTTGTCTGAGATGATAGAACAAATTTGACTTTCTGCTTTTGCTTTTGGGCTGATGGGTAGTTGGGCATCAGCCCAGCTGCACTCCGAAACAATTCTCGTCAGGAGTTCATAGGAATGAAGAACATTCATTAAACAATTGCTGATGAAAAGTTACTTTCAGCAATTTTCCTCCAACTGTTGCAGGTCCGAAACCTGAAGTCTGGTCCCAGATTTTATTTCATTTTGGTAGACAGGACTAAATTAATCTGCTGACTGTTTTCAGTGGTCATTCCACTGCAGTTTCTTTTGGGTCATTTCATTTCAACAAGGCTAGGTCTGTTTACAGCGCTTTCTGAAGAAACGTGAAGGGGCCACAGAAGTCTTTCATAGTGAGTTCATTGCTAACCAACAGCTCAGAAAACTAATAAATGAGGCACAAATATGAGCAAGTTTAGAGGTGCACRGAGGGAGAAGGCGAGTTTTCTATATGGTTGGATTATTTTGGAATGTGTTTGGAATTGCAATCTTCTGTGCTCTGTGAGTGGGTTTGTAGAACCTGCTGCCTTGGTATATACTGGGTGTGTGTTTTCTGCAGTAGTATTAGAGTGCTGCCTGCTGCCTCCCTTCACACGTAAGGCACTTCAAAAAGCCAGGATAGCTGAGAGCTGCTCTGGCTCCTGATTTCAGGATCCCTTTCGTTTCCATAGATAGATACGAGTGGTGCTTGATTTTATTTTGCTCTTTTTGTTCCCGTATTTGCTGTACAAACTATTTACATATAAATTAGAGTGAGGTTAAATAGGGCTCGGTTAAAAATGCCTTCATCAGGAAATGCTAATGCGGCAGCGTACCAGCGTGCTTGTTGCCTTCATGAAACATGTGATGATTTAACCTCGTAAGGCAGTGGCCTTATTACCCAGTGAATGGAAGAGCCAAGCTGCCTTCTGCGTCCACGGCACATGGGGACTATTCCTGTTCCTGTTCATGCCAGCTCACAAAGTAACTTTTATTTTGTGGACTTAATTAAAGCAGACAGAATGAATGATGCACAGGCATCAGAAAGAAGGCATGATATAGTGAGAGTGGCTGCGGCTGTGCAAGCAAGTTAAACGGCAAGAAAAAGTGTTCTTGAGCACTGAAACCTGGTTATCAGGTTGAGCACTGAAACCTGGTTGGGCATGTTCAGCTTGGAGAAGAGAAGGCTGGGAGGGGATATGATTAGCGTGTGTAAGTTCATGAAGGGGGAATGTAGSGAAGAAGGGGCCAGGCTCTTCTTAGTGGTGGCCAGTGACAGGACAAGGGGCAATAGGTATAAGTTGAAACCCAGGCAGTTCCATCTGCATGTGAGGARGAACTTCTTCCCTGTGAGGGTGCCAGAGCCCTGGYACAGGCTGCCCAGGGAGGCTGTGGAGTCTCCTTCTCTGGAGATCTTCCCAASCCGCCTGGATGCCGCCCTGTGCCCCSTGCTCTGGGTGTCCCTGCTGSAGCAGGGGGTTGGACTGGATGGTCTCTAGAGGTCCCTTCCAACCTTGAACATTCTGTGATTCTGTGATCTATATGGGTTTCTTGAATTCTTTTGTCTTCTGCCATCTAACCTACTCCCAGGCACCAGGATCAGTTCTGGATTTAGCAGGGAATCGGAGCTGTTCCCAGTAGTTCAGCAGCCTGTTGGCATGCATTCCCATTGGCCTCGGTGCGGGAGAACATGGGCATGTTGCATTTGCCCCTGTATCACTAGCTGTTAAATCCTCAGAGAAAGAATTAGAAGAATCAGCTGCATTTGAGTGTTTGAAGAGTGTAACATGAGCTGTGGGACGTGAGAAGCGTCCGGCAGTGTTGGGTGTTTTGTAGGAGCGTGTGTGCGTGTTCACAGGTGCCAGGGGACGCATGTATGTCAGAGCATGCAGCAGTGCCTCCTTTCTTAGGCATCTCAGTGAGTTAGTCTGGGCTGCAGCGGTGTGTGTTCCTGCCTGGCGAAGCATTATCAAGCCCTTGTACCTGTAAAGGGAAGGTTCGAGAAGCACTTGAAAAAAATTTCTCAATTTAGAAACTGGTCTTCTATAAATGGTGGCAAAGCCAGTTTGACCAATGCTCTAGGACCTCTGGCCACAGATCTTAGCACTTGATGCCTGTTTATGAGCCGTGTTACTGAGGAGCTTCTAATCTTTGCATCCTACCTGCAGCAGTGGGGATGGAGTCACCCCCCCCTACGAGTGAACCACAAGGTTTCCTTTTCTGGGGAAATATGTATCAGTGTTTCTACATTTTAATCAACACAGACCACTCGTTGTGTCCACTCCTTTACTACACAAGCTCTTGAAGGCCACAGCCCRGCCATTTTGTTGTGTAACTGTCTCTTTCAGGTTGATCAGGAGCTCTGCTTTTGCTGTGTTCCTTCACATTTAGCCCCATGTACTGCTACTAAATTTAATCTCCAAAAATACCGGCTTGACTTCTTTCTTTTATACCAAAGTGAGGCCACTTGAATTAATTCAAAGTTGTTGGGATGCAGGAAAGCAGGAAGCTAGAAGCCAATGAACTGCAGTAGAGATGGGCATACAAGAGAACACATGCAGAAAGTTGCTCCTTTACATCTTGACTGACACATATATGCAGTTATTTTAATATAAACGGCTCTATTTTYTGAAGGAATGTTTAGATTTGTTATTGATAATGTAATTCATAAAACACATATGGTAACACCAAATAGCCTAGCCAAGATATTCCGAGAGRTGATTCAGGCAGTCCAGATAATACTTAAAATACTAGAATAATAGAGGAGTGACCAGCTAAACTGCCATCAACTATTTTCCAAGTCTTTTACTTTCCTCACAGGTGACCTTAATGACAAATGAGAGGCAGGGGGCTGAGGCAGAGCTCCAGGCCACCAGCTCCTCCCACCTTGCTGCAGAGTTCCCAGGAAACACCCATTATTTCATTAATTCTCGCTTAATTCATGGTGTAACATTTTGCCTCGAGGCATTAAGCTATCATCAAAAGCGATGTAACATCGAGTGTCACTTTTTTTTTTTCCCAGGGTCGTTGTACAAGGGAGAACTGCAAGTACCTTCACCCACCAACGCATTTAAAAACGCAACTGGAAATCAATGGCAGGAACAATTTAATTCAGCAGAAAACGGCAGCAGCAATGCTGGCCCAGCAAATGCAGTTCATGTTTCCAGGAACACCGCTACAGCCAGTGGTAAGTGTGTTTCCCACATGATGTTCCTGGCAATGAAGCTGAGGTACGAGGCTGTACTGACCTGCAAAAGCTGCCTGCAGCATTATCAATAAAAATAATGGCTGGCTGTTAAGTTGTGGAACTGCTGAGATGCTAGAAATAATCTTGTTTAAATTTGCATATGAACATAGGAAGGAGTATAACTGTAGGCTGAAATATTTTTATTCCAGCTTCATCTATTTTTCTTTTTCTTTCTCTCTTATTCAGTTCATGTCAGGTTTTGTCTAGCTTTGCAAGGGTCTATGAGGCAGAGTGGCTTTAAGTAATATTTAATCTCAATATCAGGAGCAAAGAGTCTTGTCATTCCAGATAGTATTTCCTTACCGTCTTGAAAKCTGAAATATTCCAGGATAAGACACTTGAAGGGAATTGACAATGCGTCCACTTTACAAAATTCAGCATTTTATCTTGAGGTAATGTGTGTGATATCTGGAACACTTGAAATCCAGAAGGTGACATAAAGCCAGAGTTCTGCAGGAATGAACAGCTCTTTGGTTATCCATGAAAATGATCAGTTGCTCTGAGTTGCCTTTGCAGTTTATTCCCGGGTGGTACCAGAATTTATTGCTAGGCAAGTTACCTGAATTGAACTTTTCACATATTGTTGCTGCTGCTGCTGCTGYTTTCTCAATTCAAACTCCAAGTACAAGGCAYTGAAGTGGGATTTCTTTCTCTGCCTTGAGGCATCTACAGCGTGGGCATCGACTTTGGAGTTGGACTTCCTAGGACCCTTTACAGTTTATCAAAAGAAATAAGCACTTTTAAATACTCTCCAGTTCATTTGTTTCAGATGTTTGCCTAAGGATTAGATGGCTGGGTTTTAGAAGTGCCTTTTTCTTTTTATGGACTGTCAAAGGAGCCAAGTATTGTCTGCATCTTGGATGAAGATATCTGAATATGGTCAGATGAATCTAAACAATCTCAATCCTGATTCTTCTGTTTCAATTCTTGTTTTCCACTTGAAACATTTGTGTGTGAGGTGGGAAGTATGAGCAAAAAATGGACGTTAAGAGTCCCTGACTTTCTGGTACATGTAGTTTTTTGGGGTGATGATGTCCTTGATGTCCCAGCTCCCAGTGCTCCTAGTGGGCAAGTTAGTCAACTTTTTAGATGCAGGTAAGATGTATCTTGGATAGATAATATTGTCATAATGTGTCTTGGTTGAGTTTTCACCCCCTACATAAAACATTTTCATGAAGTATTACAGAGGTTACAGTGCAAATTTTAAGTATTAAAATCATTCTTTTTTTTTTCATCTGTCAATTCATCATTTGAACTTTACAGTTTCATCTACGTAATGCTTTCTGTAGTGATTGCCATGAAAGAAGTAAAGACTTTTATTTCTGTCTCACGTAAATTGCCAGATTAGGATGACTCAGCTTTGACCAAATGGATACCAAGTAGGAAAAAAAAAATCTCTCTAGAAGTCATTTGGTATCTGTATTTATTCTTGGAATTGTATGTGATACAAAGTTGGCATTTATATTTTATATAACACATACTGTTCCAAAATAGTTGAACTGTTGAGTCATATAAATTTCATTATTTTAATTTAAAGGATTTAGCTAGTACTTAGGATATAAACTGTGCTGTTTGGTATCAAGCAGTTTTGATCTCTGATGAAAACAGGGCATTATTTGCTTTAAATTCTCCAGGGTAGTTGGATTCCCTTTCCATATGGTTGAGTATCCTGGCTAATCTGCTGCCCTCAGCATCTTCTCAGTACCAACTCAGACTCATTTATAATTTAGGAATTTCTTCCTAGGACAAAAAGAAAACTAAACAGATATAACCCTTTAGGCTCCTGTGCTTCATGTTACACRTTTTCTACGTTGTGTGTGGCTGGCTTCCATTTTATAATAGAGGCTACCTTGTTGAGGAAGACATTCTTCTGTCATTAAACATTCTTAAATTTTTCTCTAGTGTTCTTCATGTGTTCTGCATGTGTGATTTATTTCTAGCTACCACTTTATTTGGAAACTTAATTTCTGACAAAGCCAATCTGAGATTTGTCCTGGTTTCCACATAATTTTTCCTCATTTATAATTATAGCTTCACTCTCTGGAGCAAACATCAGTTCTGCAGAAACAAAAAGCTTTCTGCTTCTGACCGTAGTCTGACCATGGTGATGTCCCTTCTCCATTCCCAATGGAATAGGTGGTAACAAATCAGCTATTCTGATTTAGTAGAGCTAGGTTTTAGCATCACACAAGTGCCCTTTCTTCTAGTCATGACTTCACTGACTTGCTTGAGAATTTTTACACGCCTGTCATTCCTTCTAGTCAAATTTCTTTTTTTGTAAGATGAACTCTCCAGCTAAGCCTGAATAATCCTTTTCTAAATATTGGGTCCAGCTGAGATTATAATATTTATTCTGCTTGCCACCAATGGCAGCTGAACACACAAACATTTACACAGGTGAGGTTTTTCCAATGTGTGAGCCATAGTAACATATAATTGCACGAGGTGGCAAAATACAGCATGCAAACAGATGGAGGTTACATGCTGAAGAGCTCATTATATATGCTGTTATTAGAAATACGGCTTTAATAGAGTTAATAATGCTTCACTATGAAATCAAATACAGTGTTATCCCAAGGAACCAGGTATTGAGGAAAAAGCAATAAAATCTATGTTATTTCTAGTTGTAGATGTGTAAATAAGCCTGCGGTGTAAGCTGGACCTCCATAGAGATTCAGGTTAGAGAATTGCCGGAATGTGTTCCGTGATTTAAAGAAGAGAATAAACTGTGTGTGTTTTGCCAGCTGTTTAAAATGTTTGAATAAGAAGATGAATCGGTGCCAAAAAGAACATGCAAAAGGCAACTCAGAAATTCTTGGCTAAGTTTTTTCTAAAGGTAAGGCCATTTTTTTCATTTTGATCTGTGTTTTCATTTTGCAGCCCACGTTTCCAGTGGGTCCCACAATAGGAACGAACACGGCTATTAGCTTTGCTCCTTACATCACACCAGTAACCCCCGGAGTTGGCCTCGTCCCGACCGAGATCCTACCCACGCCGCCTGTCATAGTTCCTGGCAGTCCGCCGGTTTCAGTCCCTGGTTCCACTGCTACCCAGAAGCTCCTCCGGACTGATAAACTGGAGGTACTGTRGGCACCACCGTGGCTAGAAATGGGCTTCTCTGCCAGGCTCTACAAAAGATGCTTGGGATAACTCTATTCATGCTTAAATTTAACTGCTGCAAATAGTGAGGTCACAGATGGGCAGGATTTCTCCTCCTGCAGGCAGTGCTAATGAAGGAGTTTTTGTGTGTGTTGTTATTTTTAAGGTAGCGTGTTTGCTCAGTTTTAAYACACAGAAAGCAACATGGAGTTGCTTTGTTCAGAAGTGTCTCTTCATTATGAAGCTCTCCATGGCTTAGCTTTTAAACCTCAAAATATACAAGGCCTTTTCAGGTACGCTTTGATGAAATATCTAACAACCACATTTGTATTCCARTATGAATTCCCTCCTGATTTTTATGAATTAGTGTCAATAGTAGGGGAATTCTATAGCCTTCCAGCCTTCCTGAGCTGCACRTGCAGATACTGAGCGTTACAAACGCTGCAACAGGCTGCATAGGAAACCCTCAGCTGTGCTCAGGGAGAGCCCCACTGGAGGCCACGTGTCTCCGTGCAGCCGAGCTCAGCACGGCCTCTCATCCAAGTGCATGAGAAGGCCAAATGGCACTTGCAGAAATGTCCTTCCCCAAAAGCCCGAGCTCTAATGTCTAGAGCAGGTTTCTTTCTACAAAACTCTTGTGTGTTCATTCTGACCTCTTTTTTTATTATTTTTAAGGAAGCTCTTCATTTTGTTTGTAGACTGTATTTAAATGCAGTGAATCTGGTTCCTACCTCCCCCTGGTATCAGCAAGAGGAACCTCTTACCAGCCAGTGGAATTGCATGAATATAAAGTACAGTCAGAAAGGGATTTTGTGATATTTTGTGATCCCGAGCTAGTTTTACAGGGGCAGTTACTTCAGTGAGTATCCTCTATGGGTGTCTTCTAAACAGGAGGAAAAGGGGGGGGGAAAAAAAAGATATTTGGGAACGTTCGTGTTGCAAGTCAAGTTTATTTAGCAGTTATACTGCMAAGTTGCTTGTGGAGCCAAATGTTTAAGGGTAAAACAGAGACGTTTTCCTCTCCCTTCTCCCCAAAAGAAGATAAAGGGTTGTTAATTAAGCTGAATTGGCTGCGGTAGCTGGAGGAGGAGGAAGGTCTGTCTTTTTGGGGGGAGTGTGGGCTCTCCCTCCCCTGTAACCTCAGGCTGTCGGGTCCTTCCTCTGCAATGAACGCTGTTTTGCACGTAGGTGTGCAGGGAGTTCCAGAGAGGCAACTGTGCGCGTGGAGAGACTGATTGCCGCTTTGCACATCCTGCAGACAGCACAATGATTGACACAAACGACAACACCGTAACCGTGTGTATGGATTACATAAAAGGTCGTTGCATGAGGGAGAAATGCAAGTATTTTCACCCTCCTGCACATTTGCAGGCCAAAATCAAAGCGGCGCAACATCAAGCCAACCAGGCTGCGGTGGCAGCCCAGGCAGCTGCGGCAGCTGCGACTGTGATGGTAAGTGCTGGAATATATGGCTGCCTTCTTTGACAAAAGCTCTTTGATGGCTATTTTGCTTCAGTTTAATGCTGTTTGCTTGTACTTTATTTTCTCTTTTGCCTTTTATTTTTGGTAAAAGTTAAGAAATTATAAAATTACTATTGCTTTTTTGGGGGAAGAAACGCTTTTTTCCCCTTTATTATTTTAATGCTGTGTTTCTGTCGGAGACAATGAAGCAAATGACGCTCTATACCACTTATGTTCTCTGCCTTGATTACATGGTAAATTTGCCCCTAGTTTTCCTGAACAGAAAATAAAACTGAAGATGCAATGTCCCCTGGAAAACGGGGCGTATGTACTACTCCAGCTTTTTGGTGTGAATATAAATGTGGAAATTTGGAAGAAAAAGAGGAAGGCAAAGAGAGGGTTATTTGCCCTCAAAGAAGGGCCACAGAAGAGAAATCTGTATTGAGATTCAAGCCTCCTCCCTTGAGATGCCAGACTTAAGGATAGCTGAGCCTAACCTAGCCACCCTCATCCACCCTTAGTTAGTGGAGAAAAACAAGCACATTGAGATAGCTGTTCATCTATCATTAGTGCTTCTCTGAGGATGAGAAAGAACTGCCCTGTGCAGACACACATGCACACATCTTGACCCATTGACTAAAAAGTGTGACTGTGTCTTTTCAAACCTTGGTTAGGACAGAGGAGACAAATGCCCACCTACGCTTTTTATTTCTCTCTCCCACTGTCATAGACAAGTGGCTTGAAACTGTGTTACAATTTTGCTATTGGAAAAATTGAGTTTACAAACCTCAAATTATCAAGCTTAAACGCAACTCAAATTTATCAAAAATTTAAAAACTCWTTTTTTTTTTTCTTAAAAAGCAGGTTAAGTATAGTAAGATGAGAAGAGATTGAGGATGTTTTTATTTTCAGAACTTTCAGGCTGGTGCTGAAAACAGTGTAGAGCAGTTGGTCCATCCATTTACTAGTACCCCGAATATCTAGTATTTTTGCTAGCAGCGAAGCTGATAAGTTTAAATAGATATGGTGGTACAGATAAATAAAGGAAGCATGCAGGACTTCGGAGACAAAATTGCTGCCAGCAAATCAAAGAATCATTGTGCCCATGGCTGGCACCGGGCGAAGAGTTAAGCAGATGCGGTTTGTGGACTTGTGGGCAGTGCATACAATAGTTACAGACAATACAGTTATTCTCAGAGTAAGAAGCCTAGAAGAAACACAATACAGTACAGTATATAACTACYCTGAGCTATTGTATTTAGCAAATTAGCAAAGACCAGACGTTTGGAGGGACAAAGGGTAAGTTATGCAAGAACGTAAACCTCCAGACAGAAGAAAAATTCTTCAATGTTAATACTTTTTATGGTATCCCCAAGGTCTATTTAGACCTAGGTAATTTTTAGTTAAACTTCCCTGTGCCTGCAGAAATAGAATACCATCTGGAAATTAAAGCAAAGAAGATCTTTTTTAATTCTAATTAGCTTCTGTTATATGTTTTTGTTGTCCATATAATGAACATAATATTTCTAGGCAATATACAGAAGAAGAAGGGAACGAGTTGAGGAGATTTTTGTTTGAAAATCAGTAATAGTTGGATATATGTCCTGTGATTTCAGTGAGCCATAACTGGATTCTTTTGATATCAAATGAGCACGATGAAGCATCTCTAGAAAGACAGAACTGAAATGTTAGCATTCAAATGTGGTCAAGAAAAAACAGAAAAAAAAAACAAAAGTAAGGGAGAAATAAGAATCTTTATTTGTAGGACTTGCTTGCAGGTTTCCCCCAAGTTGAAATTGCTTTTGAGAACAGTTGTAGCTTGACACTYTGCAATTGCAGGATTGAGAGACTAAAGTGTGTAYGACTTAGRTGATCAAGGACATCATGAAATATTCTTGTCAGGATGTAGAACAGTATTTATGCTTCACTATGTATAGATGTTCCTCTCTCTCCATGGGCCCGTGAATATTTGCAGTTTAATGTATTATCATACGTCTCCATCRGTGTTCTGGCCCTGTCTGCCCAGCCTCAGGGTCAGATTTAGGCTGCCTTCAAATCAGGGCCCTGCAGGGCAGCGCCCGGGGGCCGTCGGCCTCGTCCGGGCTGTTTGTCAAGTGATGCCACCGCAGGAGCAGATGGAAGTCACAAGACAGGCGCCGGGTGCCAGGGCCTGTTCGCAGGGCAGATGGGCGCCCTGTGGATTGCTGGCAAAAACCCGGGAGGTTTTCCTTCCTGGGAGAGCAGGCCGGCTCGTTCTGGTCCACAGGGTGAGTGTTCTGGCTAGGGGATCATTAGAGCAGTGGAGCTTGTAAGACCTTTGGAGGTCAATGAATTCTCTAGTCTGAGACCTTGCAGAGAATGTCCTGCCTCGAGTTCTGTAATTTAAGCTTAGGAATTTTTACTCGGGTGCCTTAGCTGACCTCATCATTTGAAGTAAGCAGCAAGGGGAATGACGACCTGTGAAAGAGGCTGTAGAGCATGTACAGCTTAAATGTGAAGCAAAGGGAATGACAGTCTCTGATAGAGGCTATAGACCATGTACAGCTTAAATGTGAAGGGCATTAGAAGACAGTGTCATCCATCACTGTACTTAAGGAGCTCCAAATGCTCACACGGCAGAGAGTGGCAAAGTCRCTGAGGAATGTGAGCCTAAATTAAAATGTGGATTCATAGGCCAGTTCACAGGAGAGCTGAGGTGGGAAGGGACCTCTGGACATTGTYTAGTCCAACTCCCCCTACTCCAAACAGGGTCAGCAGGTTGTTCAGGACTCTGTCCACTTGGGTTTAGAATATGACCAGGGAGGAAGGTTCTACTGCCTGCTTGGGCAACAGTCTGTTACATGTTTTATCAGCCTCACTGGTGGTGAAGTATTTTCAAACCTTTAAATGGAATCTCTTGTATTCCAATTTTTGTCCATTGCCTCTTGATCTGTCACCGGATGCCACTGAGAAGTGTCTGGCTCTGCCTTCTTTACCCGTCAGGTATTTATGCACATCTCTAAATTCCCCCCAAACCTGCTTTTGCCCAGGCTAATGAACCCCCAGCTCCCTCAGCCTCTCCTTGCTTGTTGTATCCCTCAGTCCCTTAACTGCCTCCATGGCCCTTTGCTTCAGTAGGTCCATGTCTCTCTTTTACTGTGGAGCCAAGAACTGGACCCAGCACTCCAGGTGTGGGCTCACCACAAGAATCACCTCCCTCAGCCTTGCTGGCCGTGCTCTTCCTAGTACAGCCCAGGCTGGCCTTCTTTGCCTCAGTGCTGTATTGCTGGCTCATGCTCAGCTTCTTGTGCACGCAGATCCTTTTCTGCAAACCTGCTTTCCATTTGATCAACGCTCTGTCCTGGTGCATGGGGTTATTCCTGTCCAAGTGCAGGACTTAGCATTTCCTTCTGCTGAGCTTCATGAGGGTCTTCTCTGCCCACTTCTGCAGCCCGCTGAGGACACACGGGATGCTGGCACAACCCTCCGGTGTATCAGTGACTCCTCCCAGCTTTGTATCATCTGGGAGCTTTCTGAGGGTCCATTCAGTCCTGTCATCCAAATAATTAATGAAGAGGTTAAACAGTGTTGGGCCCAGTATCAACCTCTGGGGTACTTTAGTACTGTCTAGCCTCCAGCTGGACATTACGTTGCTGATCCTCACCCTCTGAGCCTGGCAGTTCAGCCAGTTTTCAGTCTACCTTACTGCAAATGTATTCAGGTCACATCAGCAGCCTRTCTGTGAGCATTTTATGGGAGACAGTCAGGAGGCTTACTAATGTTGAGTTAAACAGCTTTCATTGCCTTCCCCTCATCTGCTCAGACAGTCATTCCTTCTCAGGAAGTATCAGGAAGGTTAAGCATGATTTTCCCTTTGTAAATCTRTGTTGACTACACCCAGTCTTTTGGGACTTGCTGGTCCCTTCTTGTTCTTGGTGTTTCTAGAAATGGTAGCCAGGATTACTTACCCCATGCCCTTCCCAGAGATGGAGGTGAGGCTCACTGATGTGTACTTCTCCAGATCTTCCTTCTTGTCCTTGAAGACAGAGGTGACATTTGCTGTCTTCCAGTATTCAGGAACCTCCCCTCATCACCATGACCTTTCAAAGATTGTCTAGCCCAACCCCAAGACCATGTCTGCTTGGGGTTTTAAATGTGACCAAGGATGGAGACTCTACAACTTTATATGAGGTCTTTTTTGCTATATATCATATCTCCATCTTGGACCCRGATGCATCCTTAAGAACCACAAAAGAGCAGATCTTTTAAATCAAGGTATGTAATCCAGAATGTGCTAATGGAGAGGCAGTGAGAATGGTGAGTCCGTGTGGAACACAGGAGTGTGGAATAGGCAAAGCAAGTGTTGGCATTAGGTCATCTTGTGACCATCAGCATTTTGAGGGCATGTTGAGCCTTGTTCTCCTCTTTTTCACGTTTCTTCCCTACTTCCACATTTTGATGTTAAGACATAATCCCACATATCCTAAAAAAACTAAAAGTCAATCCGTTTTTTAAAAAAAAAAAGGCAAAAATTCTGATTTATATATAAACCTTCTTTTCCTCTCTAAACTTTTAAAGCGTTCTTAACATTAAAGTTTGAAAGTAATACTTAATGTGAAAAGATTTTTTTTTAATAGAATACTGTCATACCAGCCATAAGTTTTATCTTATTATGGAAATATGCATAAATGTTGTTTTACTCTGCCTAAATATTTTCTTGAAGCCTGAATCTGAAACTTGAATTTTTAATGATGCTGGACTAGTGTCAGAAATCATACTTATGTGTTCACTTGTGCAGTGGGAGCAGTGTTTTCTGCTAGTGTATGCTCCTGAAACTAGTATTAGAGGTTGTAATGAAGTTTAGAAAATATGTTTTAAATTCTGAAGGGCTTTTTTTTTTTTTCATCTCAGTGTAATGTGGTAAGTTACAAGGGAAAAAATCTACAAAAATGCCCCCCTGTCCRAACAAATAAAGAATTAATGATAAGTTAGTGTAACTCAACCTATTAATCTGCTTCGTGCTAGAAAAAGAGAAGCTCTTTCGCTTTGAACCCCAAAGCTGTTTGATTATGCCCTGTTATTAACAGAGACCCTTAGCTTGCCAACCCACATATTAGCACCCTCTGTAACACACTACAGTGTTCACTAGCGCTTTTTATTAAAAAAAAAAAAAAATGTAGTCTTCCAATTGGGTTTTATGCTTTTTAATCTGACGTAACTAACTTATCAGGAATTCTCATAGGAGCGCCCTAAAACCGTCCCGCATCTCTGTGAAGTGTTGATAAAAGTGCTTAACAGTGTCTGCAAGCTGCTATTTTACTCAACTTTCCTGAATTTCAAACATCTATATTTTACTCTCTTATATGCTTTTTTTTTTAACTAAGGTATAGTAGATGCATTTTTGCTTCAGTACTAATTGAGAGTGTAATACCCGTTTCTTTAGAAGACATTTTGGTTGTTGTGCATGCCTAGTGTTTCGTATGTTGTATATTGCATTCAGAATATTTTTTTCCTTCTCACCTATCCACAATGCAATGCCGTTCCCATGATGCACCTCTGCTTGCTGTTTACCTGTATGTTAATTCGCTTGAATCCCATTGGCCCACTGCCATCATGTGCTCGCTGCCTGTTATTAAAAGACTCAGTCGACTGCCAAAGCAATGAAGCGACCTCTCGAAGCAACTGTAGACCTGGTACTTTGACCTTTCACCTTTTGCTTTGCATGTAGCGCTTGATTTATTTTGATTTATTTATTTTTAAAATTCTTCTTTTTTTAAAAAATTATTTTTCCTTTTTTTTTTTTTTTTTTYCTTTTCTCGGAGAAGCAACTAATGAAACTCGTATTTGCTTTCGTTTGAACATCACCCGGAAATGATTTCACCTCTCGTTAATTTGACGGGGAAAATTTAATAATAATAATAATAATAATAAAGAAATAAATCAATAATTAAGAATAAAAACAAAAGCAACCTCCACCACGACCGCCGTACCGTAGTTCTCCATCTCATTCTCATACGTAATGAGCGCAGGCAATTTAGTTTGGTTCCTAACATGGTTTCGTTTTTTTTTTAAATATCTTGCCATTTAAAAAAAGAAAAAAAAAAAAGAAAAAAAAAAAACTTGAACCGAGATAAAACTGCTTCTGTAATTGAAAATGCTTAACATAATCCATTAATCTGTACAATAATAGGAAATGTATTTAAATTTAAAAGCAACTTGGCAATGAAACACAAGTGGTTTTTTCTCCCTGTGATACTCAGAAACCTCTTTAAAAGAAATGCCATTTTTGTTGCTTTAAAGGCCTTTCTTTTCAGTAGTTGTGCTGCTTTCTTAGGTTAATAGTACCATGCTTTTGCTATCAATAACAATATTTCACTCATTTTACATTGCTCTGCTTTGAGTTAATATGCATGGCAAGGCATCTTTAGCCGCTTTAAAAAATAATAAGTTTTTGTATTTACATGTTTGTTGTAGACAATGCCTGAAAAAATGACGTGATTTTAACTAACTTTCTCATTCACAGGCCTTTCCTCCTGGGGTTCTTCACCCTTTACCAAAGAGACAAGCACTCGAAAAAAGCAATGGTGCCAGTGCCGTTTTCAATCCCAGTGTCTTGCACTATCAACAGGCTCTTGCCAATGCCCAGTTGCAGCAACACGCAGCGTTTATCCCAACAGGTAAGTGCCAGGCCCGGGAAGGACATTCCTGTGCCCAGGGCGGCCTCGCTGGGAGGCAGTTTCTGTTGCGCTTGACAGGGTGTTTTATGATGTTCCCTGTGCCCTCGGAGATGAAGCCTGCGCACACATTTACCAGCTATTTTAATCCCTCTGCAGAACTCCAGCGGTAATTTCCACGTGCCATTAGATGGCCTTTCATATTSGCAGGCCTGTTAATCACTGTCCACAGCTTGCCCTTTCTTCCTGCGTTAAATTGGTTGTGTTCTGACTCCATCTGCCAGAGCTTTCCCAGGAAACGAGAAGGCAAAATACTGCTAACAAAATAGCGGAATAGTGGGAAAGGCTTCCAGGATGCCATGGGAATTGTGCAGGCTCTGCCCACCCCCCGAATGTAGCCTGTTTCTGCTCCCTCTCGTGCCATTTCACAAACCACACGAGCCCAGGGAGAGCTGGAGCAGTCGCAGTAACCTTGCAGCCTCTGCCTGCATGGCAGCTCCGTGGAAAGAAATTGTTCCCTGCATCTGCATTCAAGGGTTTTCAGGCATCAGATTGGTTTTCGTGGTTTTCATTTCGGAATGAAACCAGGATTTTTCCTACTGTTTATGACTAATAGTTGGGGTTATAGTTCCTTTTCTAGGTGATCTGAAAACGAGAGAATGTAACTTGCATTTCAGTGCTCAGAAGTCTGTAACYTTAGAGCAATCAAAGATCCATTGCAGCTTGAGCTACATGGTGGCGGGTGCCAGGGCTTCTTTTTAACGCTGTGGAAGAAAGAGTACTAGGTATCTGCAAACACAATAGCAATATAATTCTTTAAATTATGTCAGTCACCCCCACTCCAAACAGGTAAATATCCTGTGTAATTGGGTAATGAATTACATGATTTGATTTTAATTAACAAATTGCATATTTTAGTTTCAGGTAGTTATGAAATGTGAACTTCCAGAATTCTTTGAAATTATGTGTTTTCAAATGCATTTGTTGACATTTCGACATTTTATTTTTGTGTATAGAAATAATGCCAGTTAAACAAGGGATGAAATGTAACCTGCAATGGTTTCCCAATATATCAGCCATCCATATGCTTTTAAAGATTAGAAGCAAACACATATGGCATTGATTTCATGAAATATTGGTGTAAGACCTCAGTAATAACCTTGGAACCTTCCTCTATATTTATTACAATGAATTATAGAGCACAGTATTTTTMGCACATTTGTGCACCAAAATATTTGTGGCAGAAAATGTGCTGACACTTAGGGGAGTGTTTGAGGAAAAGCCATGAGCCTGCCTGTTTGGAAATGAATGGAATACTGCCCTGCGCTTACAAATAGACAGAAACTTCCACAAATTCATTTTACCTCCTCCYCCTCAGAATTTGCAGCAAGGTGTGCATTATTCCTTCTCTTAAGCACTGCCTTTCAGGGCTTATTGCTTTAGTATGCAACTAAACTACTTCAGAATGTAGAAAATACTGTTGAAAATACAGTAGTCTGTGAACTTTTTTTTTTTTAAGTGAGATAGCATTTAGATACCTTTGGAGTGCTCATGCTTCCCCGAGTAGCTCATTCTTTATGCTGTTTATTGTACTTTCCTCTTTCCAACTGATGGGTCAGAATTAGAGTTTCAGTTTATAAATTTCTGATGGTGGAAAAGGTGGTTCTTGGAGCCAAATCTTAAGGGCCAGATTGTTGGCGAGTTCTTTTTTTTAGAGAAAGAAGAAATATAGGGATAACATAGCAAGTAAAGTTTAGACCTACAGTGGAGGACCTCTTTAACAATACTCAATCTCCAGCTCTTTGTGAGTGTCATCAGCTGCTAGAAGGAATGTTGGAGAGATGAATAGGGTATAGGAGGACGTTAGAAAGCTGTTCTATAAGAATGGGTGTAATGAGCTTTACATYAAAGACAGCGCATCTGCAATTCCCATGTTGCTTGGGAAGGCCAAAGGAGATGCACGTCTTTGGATTTGCTGTGTGTGAGGACTGTCGTGTCACCCAATTCTAGGGAGCACCGCATGACATGATCTGTTGGATTTTAAATTGTGTAATATCTTCTGAACTGATAAAATTTTAAAATATGCTGCTGTGTGTGTGTGTTTAAAAAACAAAGTTTATTTTTAATGCAAGTTTTGCTGCTGGAATATATATAAAACTGAATTGTTTTATATAACTTCTCTGCTTTCTTAACCACTTGCTCCTTTAATAGAAAAGTGTGGGGCTTGATTTAGCATGGCTTACTTTCCAATTTTTGTACTYTATTTGTTTTGCATCAGTACAATTGCTTTGTCACCTCTTCTTATTGTTTGGTGAATGATCTTAAAAGCAACAAGTCTATTTTCCCTCCTTCCAGTGCTGTTTGTCACACGTTTTATAACCGCTAGACGAGGCACTTGGTGTGTTCTCTGGGGATTATTCTTTGGGAAGGTCATTCATAGTTGCTTTGCTACTGTGATGGTTGGGTAAAAGGCTGCTGCAGTAACCAAGCAGGAATACAGAAAACATATTTGACTCCACAGCAAATATGGCTGTATGTGGTGCTGCTCTCTTCACTCGTCCAGCCTTCACAGTATACGAAACATCTGCTGTTCTCTTCCTCATTTGGCCTCTCGGGAAAGTGGAGGGTTGATTAGGCACCAAAACTGAACTGCATGGCAGGTAAAGAGTCTTTCCTGAGCCTTGCTGGAGACTCAGGGGATGCTATGGAGCTCTGACCACATTCTTCCCTTTTTACCTTTGAGAATCGTCACAGCAGCATTTTTATTGGATTGGTCAGAACCACAGCTCCACTTGAGCACAGTGTGCTGTTGAGGATGTCCACATTAATATTAAACATGAATTTGGAAAAAAATGCAAAATAATAATGGGTAGTTCCATTTGGCCTTCTTTCTCCACTGCAAATCAAAGAAGTTTGTTAATGTTGGTCTGTGCAACATTAACCTCTTTGAATTATGCAACAGGTTCTAAATGTCCCCAAAGACTGTGATATTTACTCAAAGAAATTCTTGTAAACACAAAACTAGTGCTGCAAATACGTTAAATCAAAGGGCTTATGAAATACCTTGTATATACGCAGAAAAAGGCAAGAAGTTGTATGGCATACCCAGGTAGGATTGTAGTATGAAATTGGGGGTTAAAACAAAGCAGAACTATGAATGACCTTCAGGTTTTGTTTAACTAACTAACTTATCTGTGGTGATGCTTGAATCTCACTTTGAATGTTAACTCTAAACAGCTAACCTGTTTCTTCCCTTTATCCACTTTTTTCACCTATCATTGCATGACATGCAGGGTCAGTTTTGTGCATGACACCCGCTACCAGTATTGGTAGGTTCCAAATTTCTTTATTTTATACTGTATATGATGTATATTCATTTGTTTCAAAAATCTTAGGTGAGGCTTAGACAATGACTACATTTAAAGGTTCACTTGTCCTTCTGGTTGTATCGTTCTTTAGATTTGCAGATTAAAAACTGCAGTTTAGATGGGTTTCACCTGCTATAACAACTATACTGCAAAAGCATAATATCATGAATCCAGTCTGCTTTTCAGTTTTCAAAGTTTTATTTCTCTTTATATTTTATATTGTCTAGTACTATAAAATCATAAAATGATGGAAAAGCCAGCCAATTTCATCAGTGTTTTAAAGTTTCATAGTGGTGTGCCTGTTTCTCCTTTTTGCTGTGTGTTAGAAAGTTTCATCAGCGTTTCCCAGAAATACAGACTTCCATCCCCAGAGGTCTGGTGAGACCCATGAGCTGAACCTCACTCCTCCTTGAAGCACATTTGCACCTCAGAACACATTGTTTTTGGCGGTGCAAAACTGAAGTCTAGTGCAAATAGACTCTAAATCGGAAAATAAGTCATTGCTGCTTTCTGTAGCCCAATGGCTTTTTATTGGGCTGTTCAGGAAAGCAGCTAAATATCAGGCCTTTGAAAGTCAAATTAATACCCTGTCRTGAAAATGCTGATTAAAAATCATTCTTAAAATGAACAAAAGCAGGACATTTCACAGACTCGGCTTTGCTTTATTAGATGAAACGAATTAGTGTTCAGATCAGGAGAATGACCATGATGCTACTCCTGATCTTTTTTGTCTCAGACCAGATGGCAATTTAACTGTGATGAAGTCTGGCAGTTAGGGGGTGCTGCTAGATAAAATGCAAAAGTTGGATTGGAAAGGAAGAAGCAAATATCTGGTTTACTTCATAATGAAGGCAAATGAATATAATTCATTTTTAATTGTGTTTCCAAATTAATAAACAATTACCRTTTTCCTTCCCCAGATGAAATATTTTGCTTGTACAATTCTGTCCTGCACTAGTTGTAATCCAAGCACTGGGGGAGGAAAAAAAAGCTCTCCAGGTAACAGGCAAACTTGGTAGAGCCCTAATGTAGCCCAACCAGCCCAGTCTGTCTCTGCATTTTCATTGTGTTTGCCTCTGCTTTTTTCTTTTTATTTTTTTTTCTGGGAATCGCTGATTGTGTTGACAAACTTCCTTTAATTGTACTTGTAATAAGCTATTTTCCCTTTTTTTTTTCCTTTTTTTTTTTTTTTACCTCTCTGCCACGCTTTTCCTCGCTTTGCACTGTCGATCGCATGCCATCTGCTGGTTTAACCCATGATGGCTTGCCGCTCTGATAACTCACCACGCCACAAAAAAATACCAAAAAAAAATTGAAATTAAAATTAAAAAATAAAAAAAAAAAATTAAAAAACCACCACTTCTCTTACCATAATGCTGCACCCTCCTGTTCATTGCTTCCATGGTTCCCCTCCTGAAAGTACCCATGATGCACAACGCTACGGCCGCCACTGTCTCTGCAGCAACAACTCCTGCAACAAGTGTTCCCTTCGCCGCAACAGCCACAGCCAATCAGGTTTGCTCCTTTTAAAGCTTTCTTTCACGGACCCCCCAACTCTAAATGAGTGCTGAGATTTATTTGTTTGTTCGTTTGGTTTTTTTAACCCTTCGTCCTCCAAAAAAAGAAAAAAAAAATTCTCCTGGAGAATTTTTTTCGTGTTTACCCATCAATTTTTTTTTTTTTCCTAAAGTCGTTTATAGCAAGTGTTTGTGGGACAGGTTGCACTTATTTAGAGTTAACATTTATTGCCAATAATGATGTAGCTGCGTTTTGTGTTGCCATGTKTGTACCTAATTCCCATGTAATTAACCCAGCTGGAGGTAGAGTCACTACAGTACCAGACTACTCACAGTAGCCTCTTATTAACTCCTGTGTTTAAAGGGAAGAGATTGGGACGGGTTTCCAGTGTTYGGGTGCCCTGATGTAGCCTCCTCCATGCAGTGCTGCCGAAGGGACTAGTTTGTAAGCATGGAAGCAGTCTGGAATAAGAGGTGGGATGAGGCAGYTGAGGAAGAGGTGGGATGAGCAGTGAGGAAGACACAAGAAACAAAYTCGAGTGTTTCCTCTAAGTGCTGGTTCACAGCACTCTAGGTATTTATGACTCCATCTGCTTTAGGTTTGAAGGAGTATCTTCAGCCTGGAAATTGATTTCCCTAGGGATGGATACGGTTGCAAAGAATCCCTAGAATTGTTGGCAGAGACAGGGCAGGAAAGAAAATACCTATTAACAAACCAACCCCCTTCTTGGGGTTGGTTTGGTAGTTTTCATTGCGTTGGGATCTCCCCCTTCTCCGCTAGGATCTGATTCACACAGGAGGTGTCAGCTGCAGCTCTTCGTGTGTCCATCCCCAAAGAACTTTAAATATCCCATAAAAAATAGAAGTTTCCMTAACAGTTAACCTAGGGAAAATATACTACCTCTGAAATACACCTTACTTGATCTTAAAGAAACACAAACTGGTCCATTCGTTTCACTTTTTATTTTGGAGGGCTTGTTTGCCAACAAGTGGCATGAGGGCTTTTAGCTTTTTGATGCAAAGAGGGTTCCTTTCCCAGAGCTTGTTTTGGTGAGGAAAGTGCTTGGGACAAGAAGGGAAGTGACCAGGCAAATGATCCCTCTAATAGTCCTCCTCTTCTGTGCCTCAGGGTAAGGGAATGCTGCGAGTTAGGCCCGTGGTYGGATTAGGCCCGTGGTCAAGTTAGGCCCGTGGGCCTGCTGGGCTGCAGCTCCTTAATATTGAGCACAGAAGAAGGGTTTCTGCAGCAGGAACGCTCTGGGAGCACAGTGTGGATTTGTGACCCTGAAGTGGTGGCACCTGGACTTGAAAAAGACATGGGAATATCAGGAAAATGGGGCTGTTCCCAGAGTGCGTCAGCTGGGGGAGCCTCTCAGTGCACTGCACTRCATTTCTGCCCTTGACACTATTCAGTCCCAGGGAGAATTTTTGCATGAGAAGCAAAGGTGGCTGAAGTAAAATAAATATTTATACTCCTACAAAAGTATCAGTAAGCATCTTAAAAAGAAGTTGCTTTCACACGAGTAGCTTTATCTGATGGGGGAGACAGTGGTGTGTTGTAATGCTCTCAGTGCAGATTTTGTTTGTAGTGGAAGATCAGAGCATTTTATGACCGCTTAAAAGAAGAGTTTTCCTTATGTGTGTGTGTGTGTATATATATAGTTGTGTGTATGTGTATATGCATATATATATATATATATATACACACACACACATGTATATGTACATATATTTCACTGCTGAAATTAGAAACAGGTTTAACAGCAGGATAGGTTTCCTCCTGTTTAATTTCAGCCGGGTAGAAGCTAGGCATCCAGTCCCTGTGCTTCTCTAGAAGTCTGTGTTAGGACACGATGAACTGCCCTCCAGAGGCCCCGTCTCTTTCTGCTGAATGTGGAAGGAGCTTGGATGACTAATGCAGATAAAAAGAGAACAAGCTCCGCACCACTGCGGTGAGGGGAGATGGGTCCCACCCCAGCGGTTTGTCATGTTGGTTGCTGTAGTGTGTGCCATCGTTGGGTTGTTGTTGTTGTTGTTGGGGTTATTTTTGTTTTGTTTTGTGGGTTTTTTGTCATTGCTGTCCTTATTTTATTCACTGTAACCCTTTAGAAGCTTTTCTACGAACCTATATGTGCTGAGGTACGAGCACTTCTTATAAACCTCTTATAAAGATCAGAGGCAAAGTTCCAACTTCATTGTTTATTTACAACTTTCTAAGAGTTGAAGGCGAGTTACCTTCAATATTTCTCTAGCCCCAGAAAACCAGAACAAGCAGGGAATTAGTTTGAGTTCACCTGTTAATGACCTAGTTGATAGTCGTAGAGTCCTTTGCTGTTGCCCTCTTTTATGTATTTAAGCTCTCCTGAATATACCAGAAAATAATGTGTTTATTGCTGTCTGGGTACAACTTCCTTTCCTGGTCTGTGCTGCACTGGGGCCTCTTCACTTATCTGTGGGATATGGTCTCCTCTTTTYGATTTCTGCTGCACTTTTCTTACTGGCCTGCAACCTTCAGGCCATCTTGTTTGTGCATTGTGCCAGGCACAAAAAGAAAGTCATAGCAGTGCTTAACCATCTGGCTCAATAACATTTGGCTTAATATTCTGGCTTTCTCCTGAGGAAAGATTGCGGAGTTTCCTAGAGGGAGTCCGATGCTTCAGGTGTCCTAGAAGAAACCAACATCCCAAAAGCTGTAGAGTRTCAGCTAATAGGTTAAAAAAAAACCCTCTGTTGAGTCCAGAGCCCACAAGACTATTTAGGACTGTTTCGTATGTGCATGAAGTTTGTATTGTGAGAAAGAAGAGCTATGTCTCATGTCTTTTCTACATCTTTTCTTCATGAAAATAGCGGCAAATGTGCCTGCCCTTCACCCATTCACGGTCACACTCAGCCAGCAGCTCTGTGCATTTGATGCACAGTATGAGCATGGAATGAGACAAAGGAGAAAATTTATAGGATTAAAGGCTGCAGCATAATACATACGGGCTAGGGGACCCAGTTAAGAATATAGGGGAAAATTGGAAATCTCTTACTTAACTTGCAGAAGTTTGATTTAAAACCAAACTAATTTTCTTTCATTGTACTTCTGTGGGGAGGAGAACTATTTTGGTGTGTAACAGGGCCAAGAGGATTGAGTGAAAGCTGTTTTACTTCTAGCAAACTCTGTTTTACAAAAACTCTGATAAAAAACAAATTCAGCTCATAGCAGAAATGGTGGTGTTGCCCTTTGCTGAGATTAGGCATCTTGCTGGGGAGTGTCCCCCCTCTCTCTAGCTGCCAGGATTATGATTGCAAGGGGATGAACGGGGGACTTCTGCCCCATTTGGGATCTCCAGAGGAACACAGATTCACTTCCAGAGGTCTGTGAAGTGTTGGGAGCGTGATCCACGCTCCATATTCATGGAGCCCTTTGTAACTCGCTTCCTCCCACCRTCACAGGTGACC